GGCAGAGGAAGAGAGAGCAGGCATGAGATAAAGCAATGGCTGCTCCTGGAGGGAGTGTGGGGGGGGTGGCGAGAACACTGCCTGCAGTGCCGGAGGTAAGGAACCAGGCCCAGGCAGGACTCTCCCCCACCACAGGGAGACCTGGTAGGGGGAGGAGCCGCCACAGGGGGCAGGAGCTGGGGAAGGAGTGCCTGGAGGAGAGGGGTGGGGCACCCTATAAAGGGGGGAGGAGAAGTGCCCCGAGGGGAGAGTGGGAAGGGCGCCCTGAAGAGGGGATAAGGCAGGGACGCCCGGGGGGGAGGCACCCCAGGAAGGGGGGCTCAGATGCGGGGAGGGCGCCCTGACTTGGGTGGTCTCGAGGAAGGGCTCTGATGGGAGAGGGGCGCCCCGAGGAGGTGATATGGGGGGGGGGGCGCCGCCGCACACTCACAACTCGATCATCCACTCGCCCTGCAGCAGATCGCGCCAGGTGCTGTCCGTGAGAGTCTTCACTTGGCTCCGCTTCCCCAGCGCCCCCGGCAGGACCAGCAGGAGCAGCCCCACCACAGGGACCAGCCCAGCACCCGCCATCCTGTCCCGCCACCTGCCGCGCACTTCCGCGTTCGGGCAGGCCGCCGCGCTCGCCGCGCATGCGCCGCCCCGCCCCTCCGTAGCCAGCCAGCGGAACCGGAAGCCCTGAAACCGGCCTGCGACTAAGGAAGGAGCCCGGCCTAGATTGCGCTGCGCATGCGCAGCGGTGGGCGCGCCGCCCTCGTGGGTCCGACCTGAGTGACAGGTAGCCGGGGGCGGGCTCAGCGTGTTGCGCAGCCAATGGGGCGTCGAGTTGTAGGGCGCGCTTGTGCCTCTGCCCTCAGCGCTGCCATGGTTGTCCCCGCCCACTGCGCCATAATAATTCCCCATTTCCTTTCTCCTTGCCACTTGGTGCGTTGCAAACCTCTTATGATGTCCCCCTGAAGTGTCGTTTTTCTAATAGGCCTCTTTAGTCACTCCTCGCACAGCAGCCCCTTCATACCTTGGAGTCTCCGTGTTGAGTCCTCTCCAGCGTCACGTCCATCAGGGTCCCTGCGCTGGAAAATGGCGGCGGGGGCGCTTTAATTAAAGCTCGTTCAACGAGCTTTAGTCCAAGCACGCCCCTGCCACCGGTTTTCAGCGTGGGGACGCTGATACACATGACGCTCCGGGTGCTTTAGAGCGGCTCTAATTAAAGCGCCCTCCCCCGCCACTCCCGGACCATGTGTATAGACACCCAATGGTTTCAAGTTGATTCAAGGGAAGTTTAGGTTAGATATTAGGAAAAACTCTCTCACGAGGGGGTTAGTAAAGCACTGGAACGAGTTACCCAGAGAGGTTGGCTAATCTTCATCCTTGGATGTTTTTAAGACCCGGCTCGACAAAGCCTCAGCTGGAATAACGTTGTTGTGGCTCATCCCAGTTGGAGCAGGGAGTTGGACTAGATGTGACCTCCTTGAGGTCCCTTCCAACCCTCGTTTTCTATGATCACCTACATCCAGAATAAAGAATCACGAAGCTGGGCTCATTGACAGTAAAGGGACGAGTCCCGGATACTTTACTGCATGCAATCTGGTGCTATTGTCAGCTCTTGGGGCTGGGCTGTTTTCCCCCTTTATACTTATATAAAACATCTGGCAGAGAGATGATCAGGATCCCAGTTACTGAGTATTACCCCTGCATGAGTTAGTTTCAATGGTTTGCATCCATTTGGTTTTTCTCATCTCTCTTTTGGACCTTGGCAGGTAGACAGGTCTGATTTGTGTGCAGAATGTACTATCAGAGCAGCAGAGGAAAATACTGGGTTGGTTTTTGCTGCAATTTTGGCAATCCTGTTGTGGTGCACTGTGCATTTTTAAAAAATAAAAACACTGGCACCTTACTCAGAACTTGCTGAATCGAGTCATTTGTCAATTCAGTGTTCAATTATAATTTGCAGAACTCAGCAGAGTGCACATTGTTCCATTTCTTTTTAGTTTTAATTGGATTTTTGAAATCTTATATTGATAATCCAAGTATAGACCCCTGTTTTGCATTTCTAATGAGATGTTAGGACTGGTCTTCTGTTCTTCAGAGTAGCAGTGTGCCGCTTCATAATATGAGATGCAGACAAGAACAAGGAGGTGAATAATAAGTAATCAGGATTCCTGTTATCCTAATAATGAAACTGCTATCCTGTTGTTAGACTGGGCCGCAGTGGCTACCAGCAAGTGTGTCTTTGATCTATAAGCAATCACCAGTTTCACTGAGCCTGACTCTAGAAGTGTGTTTGCTATCTTCCATTTGGTCTAAATGATAAAGCAATTAAATTTCCTTTTGTCTAGAAGAAGCAGGATTTGTGTTTGGTAATATCTTTTATTAGACCAACTATACAGTTAAAAGAGATGTTAGACAGGCTTTCAGGCATGAAATGCTTTTGCTCAGGTCCTTTGTTTACTGGCAGCTGAAACAGAGAAAGCCAGGGGCCAAAGAATAGGCTGAATAGCAACAAGGGTTCTGAATATCAGTGCCGTGGCATGTACAAGCGCCCCTGGCGACTGATTTGGTGGCATGTGTGGGTGTGGATTAAAAAGAAACTGAGGGCAGATAGTGAAAGCAACAAAGCCAGAGGCAAGCCAGAGAATCACTTGAACCACAACCCTCACGTAATGCCAAGAGAACATCTTTTGGGCAGAGAGCTGCTTGCAATTGCATACTGGGAATAGTGAGCAAGGAAAGTGCCACCTCTAAAAGGGACAGGAGCTTGTCCACAGTCTGTATGAATACACAGGATCATCAGGAAGAATTTCTTGATTGTAGCATTCTCATCTCTACAAGGTGCCATATATTAGATAATCACTTGGGTCAAAAAGGGGAATGATATGATCCCATACCTACCTCTCTTTTACTTTTACTTTTACTTTCTGCTGATCATGTACAAGGAGCATCTATAAAACATAAATGTGCACCCGTAAAATGTGCACTCACTGTAATCTCCTTTAATCTCCATTAATATTGGATAGAGTTTACTTTTCTGTTTCCTTGAATATTCAGATGTAAAAGGTTTTACACCCTGAGGACAAAGAAACTTTCAATACATTTTATATGACAGGATATCTACACTGCTGCATGTTCAAGAGACAATGCCAAGCAGCAAGAAAAACAATTTGATTCCTTCACCTCTCTTCCAAGGGTCAAAATCCTGTGTTCATTTTTCTGTAAAATGCCCTGTGGAATGAACAAATATACCATGGCTGCAAGAGGAACTAAATGAATGGTTGTTTCTTGATAGCAACTTCTTTTCCTGCTGTGGCTGCCTGCTCTGTTCTTGTGGGAACAAAGCAAAATCTATAAGATTGTTGCTTTGAAGCAGGGTGTTTGAAAACATCACTCTACACAACGTAAGAACAGAAAATTCTAGCAGATGATTATTCTATTCTGTCCCTGTAGTTCCTCTCTTGGGTCCCTCTCACACGCATAGCATACTTCATTGTGCATATGAGCCTGCATAGGAACAGGCTTCAAACCTCTCTTTAGTTTGCAGCAGGGCTCCCAAAACTCTGCTCTTGAGGAACTTGCAGCCCTTCTCATGAGAACATGGTAGGACATTTCCCATCCCCCAAGCCCCATTTTTTCCAGGAAGAGTGCAATTTCTTTCTTGCTCTTTCCGGGTGTTAGGATGTGACCTGGCTGAGGAGAGCTGACTATCTTTCTGCCGCTGGCTCTTACCATTGCTTCTTATCTAGCTGTGCATCCAAACCCATAATAGGAAGATTCTGTGAATCTGACTGTCAGGTGTAGGGCTTCAGTGGTGAGAGTCAGAGGGGGAAGCATTCTTTGTTTCCAGAGGTATGCGGCTCCTTTGTTGGGGTCTGTATTTTAATCATTGCACCCCACCCACAGAATCATTTTTTCTGCCCCTAAATGACCCTCCATCCCAGCACCAGTCTACAATAAAAAACTGGACCCATTCTGAGAACACTGCACCTAGAAACTTCTGACGCTTTCAAAAACAGATGAAGTACATTTGAAGAGTTATTCAATATCTGAAGTTAGACCAGAGGGTATCACTTTCCATATCAGAAAGCATGAAACAGTCCTAACAAGCCACTACATAGGCCCACCACAGTTATGTTATGGCTCTGTGGAAAATATGGCTTTGACTTTCCTGACATATGTATTCAAAATCTCAACCGCAGTACTGCATGAATATTTTTGCAGTGAGGTATAAGGAGCTTCATACTCATGCTCTGTGCTGCTGGGTTGTTTTCTGTTCCTTTTCAGTCTTGTCACAAGATGGCAGAGTTGAGGCTTCTTCTAAACACAGTGGGACTAGGAAAATCAATTTATCTTAAATGTAGAATTTGATTTTCCCAGGTAGAGGCATTTTACTATAATTGTCAATGTATTAATGATGAGGCAGAATATTTTTTCCTAGACCATTTTATATATTTACTACAAACTTGATGCATCTTCTACCAACTAGTCCTGTTTCTTTTAATATAGGGATGGGAGATAATAAAGGCCCAAAACTTTTCCTATGCATTAAAAGCAGTGTCTTTTTCTGTATGTTGTCCTTTGGGTTGCAGAAAGGAAGGTGTTTTTGTCTTCCTTGTAGCCTTTATGTCCTTTTGAGCTTTTGGGGGGAAAAAAAGGAACAAGTTTTAATTCCCTTCCTGCAAGGCAAAACATTAGAAATTTGATCAACATTGCAAAAAAATCAACTAACCATGTAGCTGGAAAAAAAACACAGAAAATCCCCCCAAAATTAATCAACCTGTTGCCCTCATGAGATTTGAAAGTGTCAGCATTTTGATATTACAAATTATTCAGCCAGTTCGGGTTTTGTTCATTTTTGTAAAACATTCTTGCAAGTAGAGCTGACACATGCCAACAAATGGTATGCGGTGGGCATGGATGAATGTTCAGTGTGAAAACACAGCTCGCCCACAGCTGCTTGGCTGTTGGTTGCTGACTGAACTGGTGAGAATTTTGCCATGGGTGGGCACTTGGCAATGTCTTCTCTCAAAAGTCCTGCTGATACATGCAAGCTGTTGGATGAGTCATGCCATCAAGATTGGGAGGCTGACCTTGATCAGAAAACATAAGTTGGGCAGAATCCCAGATACCAGAAGCTGGGGGCATCTAATGTGAAATAGCAGATATGAGAGAGTTCAGTTCCGGGATCTGAGATCTAGTGACGCTGACCCTGAAATCATCAGGATGCAGTGTTTCTCAAAGATTACGTGCTACAGCACTGAGTATTCTGTGGGCACAGGGAACGTTACATATACTACAGGGTCCATAGTGCCTTGCTAAAGCTTTTATCTAACACAAGCTTTTTACAAAATGTAGCTTTAGGCAGTCAATCCCAAAGCCTGGCCTTTAACGGAGCTCGTGGGCTGAGCTCATGCTTTTCGGTAGCTCAGGTGCTTGTTACACAACATGGGGGAAGGAAGACAGAACAGCACCAGCTTCACACCAGTGGAAGCAAATCAACTACACCCACCTCATTTTCAGCACATGAATAGTCCCGTTGGCTGGATCAGACCCCATAACTGCAGATTCAATTTTCGCATTGCAGTGCAGTTTGGGAGGAGGAAGGGCCTTCATTG